CGTCCATTAATTAAGGGTCCATTCATCGTTCGCGCGTTTTCCTTCGAGGCTCGTTAGCCTCGAGCCGCCGAACCTTGCCAAGGGCGTTTGTTTTTGGCAAAGATTTTTTTCTTTTTATTTTTCGACCGTGTCTCCACTTGACGAATCTGGGTCGGACTTGACTCTAACGAACGAAGCTTTGCGACGCCGGTAAAAATATTTCGAGTGTGATGAAAACACAAAAATATTAAATTTGGCGCAAAATGGTATGATTATAAATTATATGTTTTAAGATACAGTAGGTACATTATTGAGAAATATTGTTGAACTCAACGAGAAAAATCTAGAAATTTTAATAATAATTGAAAGAGCATTCAAATTGTTTTAAAACTGTCCAAAACCTTTTTAAAAATGTTCTTAAAATCACAGAATAAGTTATTTAGGTCGACGCTTTTTTTAACTGCTTGTTCAAATAGAAAAACCAATTTTTTAAGTTACTCATCAAAAAAATACAGATTTTTACATCCCAAGTAACATCGTTGCATTTGAACAAAAAAAGTAGTACCTCCTACAAATTAAACTAAATAAAACTTTATTCTTTAACAAAATTAACAATTTTAATTATTATTATTATGACTACATATTTTTTTTATGTTCTTCTAATTTCTTCAAGAGGTATAGCTCTGATCATATCAGTAGTTGAAGGGTGGAAGTACTAAAAAACCTCCTTTGCCATTTTTTTGTTGTTAAGATTTTTCGTTAGAAACATACTATATTTTTGAACAAAAAATATCAACTACAAAAATTGACACATACCCCCTTTGGTACTACCTCGCATCAATGTTGTTTAATAATTTGTTTAAATCATTGTTAAAGTTATCTTTATAAACTTGTTCTTTAAGTTTGCCCAAAAAGTAAAAATCCATACACTGTTCAAAATCAAGCCTTTTGAAATACCTAATCAGAATTAGTTAAGTAAAAATAAGGTAATATGCTTAAACAAGTAAAGCAATTCACCTTCTCGTTTATTAGGCAGAAACGAATGCCTTAGTTCTATGGTGTATTCACTAACTCCTAGATAAATGTTCATACTTTACTTAACAAACATGTCAAATTTAAAAAGATAGGCAGAATACCTAAATATTTAGTCAAAATCTCAATTACTATTAGGTACGACAATTTTGCTTTTAATTTAGGTAATTCTTCTAAATTATTATGGCAAATTATTGAACTAATTTAGGTAAATTCCTTTAAATATTAGTGACTTACTTGCAATCGGCTACGATCGCTAATACCGACGTTTTACGATAAATATTCGCGAATATATTTGCCACCATAATGCCAAAATCAACGAAAGCTTAAAGACCGCGTTGTGTGCTATTGATATAACAACATAGTTAACAATTATTGTGCTATAAGTGAACATTTTGTAGTGCTATAGTTAAGTAATCCAAAGTTTGGATTCCAAACTAAATGGAATTTCCCATTGACCCCAATTTATTTTTAAATAATCCCAACCCTGCAGGGTATATGTAGTACCAGAACCGCCGTTGTTAATTCGCCTAGGACATAAAGATAAAGGAGTCCTAACTTGGAAGAAAATTCAGGACTATGTTAGGATTTTCACTAAAAATATATATAATTTGCCTGAAAACTTAGCTAAAATCTACCTCAAAATTTAAGCAAATTGCCTTAGAAACAGGAAATTTATTCTTTTATTCTCAGGCAATATCCCTTACGATCTAAGGTGTCTCTTTGAAACCTAAGTAATTTTGCTTAATTAATTGTATCATTTTCTTTAAAAATATCAGTTAAAGAATTCACTAATTTAAAAGGGGAATATTCCTCTAAATTCATTTCAAGCAGTTTGCCTTAAAAAATTAATGGTCCTTTATAGTCTAATATTTTAGGTAAAAATTAGCTAAAATTTTTAACAGTGTATTTGTTAAATCCGGTCTTCTTAACCAAACCATCCAACCATCTTGGTAATAATTTTTTTTCACTTTCTTTATATCAAGGTAATTTTTTAAATAATTTTGAAATACTTTCAAATACACATATTGTTAAGGTCCAATTATCCCATCTTATGAAACAGCACACCAAACGTTCATTTTTTTGTAATACTAGCTTCTACAGTGTATTCTGTTAAAAACAACGTTAGTAATGAGATTTTCCTGTTTGCTCTGACGGACACTGGTCCGAATCGACTCATTCTCTGGCCAAAACTCGAAAGTTTATCACCCGAAAAATTTTAATTTTTGGGTTTTTGTGGTTTCTGATCACGAATTTGATATTAAAATTATCACATTCAAAATGTCGCATGTCGAACCGAAAATGGTGGACTTTTAAAAAAAAAATTATTTTATTGCCCTGTAATTTTTTATGGTTGGGTTTTTGGGATCGCTGATCACAAATTTAATATTAAAATTATCAAATTTAATATGGTGAAAAAAATTAGGTTTTTTGACTAGAAAATGTTTATTATTGGGTTTTTGGGGTCGCTGATCAAGAATTTGATATCAAATAAAATTTTAAATTAAATAATTAGTTTACCACCCGGAAAATATTAATTTTTGGGATTTTGGGTTTTCTTACCACGAATTTGATATTAAAATTATCAAATTCAAAATGTCGTTTAACATCAAAATTATCAATTTTAAAATGTCGGACTTTTTTGAAAAAAATTAGTTTAATGCCCAGAAAATGTTAATTTTTGGGTTTTTGAGGTCGCTAATCACGAATTTAATATCAAAATTATCAAATTTAAAATGGCGAACCATGTCTTCTTCTTCTTCTTCTTCTTCTTCTTCTTCTTCTTCGATCTAAAAACGTCTCCGGTCAAATTAATAGTTGTTATTTTAATTTAAACTTTAGTTTATTGTTTTTATTATTTAAAGAATTCAACTTTTATTTAAACAGAGTACCTACATCTTTTTCTGTGTTTACTTTTTAAAAATTTTATGTGCAGTAATAATATTTTTATATGTAGTAAAAAGATTAGTAAATAATTTGCAAAAAAATTGTTTTTGTATGTCTTTTAGTTATCGTATAATAAAATCTTAAAAAATATGTTTACTTAGCTTTACTGCGTGCGACTAGTCGCGACTAAAAAATCCATTTATCAATTATATAGCTTAAGGGACAAATTAAATATTTCAGCTCTTCTTGTGTATTTTGCAAATATTTATGCCATTTTGAGTTTTAATATTTTATCTTACGGTCTTACTAGAAATAGTAATAGAATTTTTATTTTGCAAAAATATGCTATTAGGGTTATTTTTAATCGGAAAAAAATAGATTCTTGTGGATATTATTTTAAAAATTATGGAATTTTAACTTGTAAGTGTATATATATAAATAAAAACTTCTTTGTCTGGTACATAATAACAAAATAGAACTAATAAATAAAAATAAGTGTCAATACAGCACCAGATCTAAGGAGAAAATCCCCATTGAAATGCATTGGCATGCAAAATATGAAAAGTCTTACTTCGTGGGAATTCGCCTCTATAATAATTTGCCAACTGGTCTAAGAGAAAAACCCTTTTATGAATTTAAAAAAATCATAAAATCTTTTTTGCAGTCTGCATGCTGTTACACCATAGAAGAATTTAAGGAAAATATTGTCTCTATTGTTTTTTAAAGTAGAAACAAGTCATGTTTGTGTTTAGTACCTATACATTTAATTTATCTTTTTGACCTGTCATACACCGTAAAAAAAATCAACTCTAAGCAACACTAATTAGAGTTCACACATGTGTAATGTAAAATAACACTATTAGTGTGGACCTGCAGGTCCACACTAATAGTGTTATTTTATAACACTACAATTAGAGTTAATTTGTAGTGTAATTTTCCCTAAGTAAGCAAGTATGATTTAACACTGTAGCACTGAGAATAAAGTGTTTTTACACTGTATTAAAAAGTGTTAATTTACCTAAAATTGTGTACTTCTACACTTCCTGGGTAAAATCCCACTTTTGTTCAGTGTAAATAAACACTACTTTGGAAAAGTTCTAATTTTAGAAAGGTACTTTTACTCTTTTAGTGCAAACTTCTAGTGTAAATTAACATTATTATTTCAGTAAAACCTATTGGTGGTAGTGAATAAAAAGAAAAGGTAAATACAGAGAAATATTTATTTGGAACAAAAATCTATGACAATTATCAAAATCGGTGCATTTTAAAATATAATTTTATATTTGAGTCGTATGGCTGGCTTAAGCAAAATGGTTCCTTAAAACGTAAAAGTTTTAGATCAATGCAATGTTTTACTGGCTGTCAACTTGTAAGCAATCTTGAGAATTCATCAGTAATTTATTTTTCTGTTATAAAAAATGGGTGATCCCATTGGTAGAGAGGCGTCAGGCGGCTTTATGTCGGGGATTTACCACACGTGTACAAATTTTCCATAATATTAATAAAAATGTAGATATAGGTTAATATAACAACCATTACGCTTGAAAATAAAAAGTAAATCAAGTGTGTATGTATTTATATTATTAATGTTACAAGAACCCGACCTACTGCCGTAAATTATTGATATATAATATAGGTCGGGTATGGACATCCTTTTAACATATTGGTATTTATTGAGTATTAAGGCTTAAAGAAAAAGAAAGTATAATACTTACCAAAAAATAAGAATGGATTCACCGTAATTAAAATCTAACTGAACAAAAATGCCACACTTCCACAACGCGGTATCCCAACCAAACATTTTAAAACGCATTTCAGTTATTACCAGTTTTTTCAGTCTATTTTTCCACTATTGGTGTAATCTAACTTTAATTGTGATACAATGTGCACTAGTAGTGTAAAGAAAAAAGAGCTATTAGTAACATCAAAACAAACAAAGAAATTGACATGCACTGTAGTGTACATTTTGTCACTATTTAACACATTAACACGTGGGCGGATTTTCAATTATCAATTTTTAAGAAGAATTTAGGCATTAAAATTCGATACAAATTAAAAAAACTACTAAAAATATTTTAACAAACGTAAGTTTTTATTTTTAGACGGTAAATTTCATCAACTACCGTCCGGAGAACTGCTTATTCACAACTTGGAATTCAGCGACCAGTTCCCGACGTACCGTTGCAGGACGATGCATCGTCTCAGCAGGCAAGTCGTAGTCAGCAGTCCTGCCAACGTAAGGATAACCGGTGAGTAAAGAAACGAAAACTTAAAGCAAATATTTACTGAGCTCAAACAATACGGCACAGCACCCGCTATTAACTAAAAGAGAGTGTCCTAAAATTTTTAAAAATTGTTTTAAAACTGTTCTAATTATTTTAGTTATTTATTTATTAATATCTAAAAGCTGTGCTTTTAAAATCGGTTTAATTTATTTTCCACAAAAAGTTCCTACACACACAAAAAGGGTAACGCAGTAAGGTGTTAATGGATTTGGGGATTTCGTAAATTGGCCTAAAAAGGTGCACGTAACACGTTTTAAAATATGCGGCTGTAAGCTGCCGATCCTTTTGTTATTTTCAGCTAATTAAGCATGGTAATGAATATTTTACAGCGGCGTCTGTGCGATGATAAAACAAACCTGGCTTAACGCCTTTAAAAGATTTATTTCAAATTTTTAATAAAAAGAATATAAATTAGATAAGAATAAATGGTTTAATATTTTATTTTAACCACCAAAAAAGAACGATCTGCCATTTATCTACCCTTTGGAAAGAAGAATCTAGATAATAAACATTATCGATATAATATATTATATAGTCTTTGTTCATTGAAAAGCCAAGATAAACCTTGAGATAAGCCATCAGGCACCAAAGATGGTTGTAATCAGTTTTGTCAAAAAGAAATAAAATGCAGCCTGCTTTTAGAGTGGAATTTAGGCCTAAGAGAATAGCCGAATATGTAGGCCCCAATGATTTACAGACTGCCAAACTGCAAAACTGCCTTTATGGGAATTACTTTTGATATTTATTGTTACGGTGGGGTAAATATAATGGAAAAAAATGTCTGGTATAAGGGAAATGGCTTAATTAAATCATAGAATATATAAATTTATACCGATTAAGAGCCGTATGCAGAAACGTTGATTTATTTATATCAACTGATTTACGCATATAATGGCAACGCAGTAATTTTCTTTAAAAACTTTTTTTTATAAAATAAATTGAATAATTATAATTATCTATTTTGTGTTTATAATGACTTCATTATAACACCGCTTTCGGTGCTGTAATGAGGTACTTTATCCCACACAAAATTTTGATTTTATAGGTTGGCTGTACTTTAAACAGCATACTAAAAATAAAATATTATTTTGCATATTGATTATAATATTTTTATGATTTTTCTAGTATTTTTCTGGCAATCAATTTTGTTTAACACCAAAGAAAATCCTTTTTTATTCTTTATTATTAACAGCCACTTATTGTAAACAAGTAAATTAAGGACGGCATGGCGAATCGATTTTGACATTAACCCTTCAAACCAATGACTGTGATACCAACTATCTAAAGTAAAATTCGACCAAATTAAATTTAAGGTATAAAATTATTTTTTTTATAGAAATTTTGGAAACATTGGCTTCCTGAAGTATGACATTTCTCTTTGAAAGGTTATTAAACACAGTCGGACAAGACAACAATGTTCTATCGTCTCCTAGCAATTTTTAAAGCTCTTACGTTTAACCTATGCCTACTTATAATATAATTAATTAATCTTTTTTGAAGTTCCTACAAACACAAAGGGAATTTCCACCAACTTCCACAAAATTTCTTTAAGGCGTAATTTTGTTTAATTTCGTTTTTGATAGCTTCTAATACAGATATACTTATAACAGAACACATTAAAAACTGAGAACCTAACCCAATTATGTATAAAACAGATTGCCGCAATCCTCTTCGAATCAAGTTTTTGTCAATAATAAGGTTTCAGTTTTAAAATGTATTACTTTTGTAATAAACACATATTTAAGTATATGTGAGATAACCTACAAATCTTACTGTCAGTGGATATGCGTAAATTAATTGATATAAATAAATCAACGTTTGTGTATACGGCCCTAAACATATTTTAAAGTTTTGTTTACCTTTTAGAAAATTTTATACAAATTATTCATAAAAATACCTTGTAACTGATATTTGCGAAAAATGGCGAATGCGCCGGGCACAGATAAAAGACTAGCCGGGATCAAGCGTGCTTTGCAAAAACTGACTTTGGTCAAATTTGAAGTTTTTTCTATTATTTAATTTTTTTTAATTAAACAAAATTTTGCATTTTTTCTTTTTTCCCAGTCGGTTTTGTTTTTTTTTGGTTTGAAGCTCTTTTACTTTCTTAGAAAATATTTTTCGAATTTTAAAGATTTTTTTTTAACTCTTTTGTTAATATTTTATATTTTATAAAAATACAACTTTTTTTTTTAAATTAACCTAACGAAACGGAACGAAAGTAACGAAAGACCCTCAAAAATTCAAATAAGGTTAAAAATGCAATTTTTCTGACCTGGCGGCAATTTTTATTTTAAATATGATATTCACGGTGTCCCTGAATAACTTTTAATTGAAAGGTTTAGACGTATTCGATTTTTTTTCATATTTTGATAAAAAATCACTTACAAGACAATTTTTTTCCAGGATAAACTCAATTCGCTTGGCACTTTTTTTGAAAAATCAATTTTTATAAAAACATTAATGATTTTTAATCAATTTTTTGAGAATTTGAATTAGTGAACTCCAAATAATGACTAACAGCTTTTAATGTATTTGTCACATAAAATGTGTAATTCATTAGACTAGTGAACTATTGAAATATGTCACTTGTCACATGTCACATGTCACATGTCGAAATCGTGATTGAAACTACCGTTGCGTTATTTTACCGTTTTTTTTTCAATTTGTCGCAGATTTATTTATAAATTATATAATAAATAATTATATTTGCATTGATTATAGTATATCGTGCAATGAAGCTAAAACCATGCATGGACTCACTCGAGAGAATTTGTTTGTTTTCTCTTAAAAAAAGAAAAAAAGTCTAAAATACATATGTGGAAAGATTCTGGAAAAACTTCAAAGCATAGCTATAAGTCCGAAACATCAGCAGCAGTTACTATCGCTCTTTTAAAAAAAGAAAAAAGAGCGATAGTAACTGCTGCTGATGTTTCGGACTTAAAGTTTCACTAATATCGTTTTCAATATTTTCTTCTTTTACTCCAGGTTTACATTTATGTTTTTACCGCGGCCACCAACAATACTTGACAAACATTTGAAACATTTTCTTTTTTAATGGGTTTATTTTTAGCACTTTTTATAAAAATAAACCCAATTATTTCCAATTAGAAAAATCAGGCAAATTTAACGTGTTTCTATAAATTTCTTGTTTGGCTTGTTTGCTTGTTTGTTTGTATATAAGAAAATTTCACCACCTTTGCATACAACTTTTGGTAATCGTTCATCTTCTACATCATATACTACTATGCTTTGAACTTTTTCCAGAATCTTTCCACATATTTTAAACATTTTTTCTTTTTTTTTAAGACTAAACAAACAAATTCTCTCGCGATTATCCGAGTGAGTCCATGCATGGTTTTTTATTAGCTTCATTGCACTATATAGGTACTGTAATCAATGCAAATATAATTATTTATATCTAATTTATAAATAAATCTGCGACAAATTGAAAAAAAAAAACGGTAAAATAACGCAACGGTATTTTCAATCACGATTCCAACATGTGACATGTGACAAGTGACATATGTCAATAGTTCACTAGTCTAATGAATTGCACATTTTATGTAACAAGTACATTAAAAGCTGTTAGTCATTATTTGGAGTTCACTAATTAAAAATCTCAAAAAATTGATTAAAAATCATTAATGATTTTATATAAATTGATTTTTCTACAAAAGTGCCAAGCGAATTGAGTTTATCCTGAAAAAAAATGTCTTTTAATTAATTTTTTATCAAAATATGAAAAAAAAATCGTATACGTCTGAACCCTTCAATTAAAAGTTATTCAGGGACACCATGTATTTGATATAATTTTTTTACATAAAATATGTATTTTCACGATGGGGTTGAAATGAAAAAGTCCTAAAAGAGAAAAATTAATAAGATTTCCAATTTAAAATATTCACCCATATGCTGAATTTTATATACCTCCAAAGAAAAAAATCATTGGGAAACAGATCCGGTAATCTCGTTGGCCAGTGAATTGCATCTCCATTTAATATTATTCTTTGGGGAATATTATCTCCAAATAATGAGTGACAACCATAAAATAATAAGCGGGGCACCCGGGTGCACCAGTCTTGTTGAAACTAAAAGTTAGCGAGTATATTTCATATATGAAAGACTCTGTTAATTGATCAGCCCTTAGCCAATTTTCCGAAGAAGACTAATTATGTAATTTATAAAATCCCTTATGATACAATACCCTTAATTACAATTCGTTTAACAAAAATGAAAACTTAAATAAAGCTTACTTACCTATGTAATAATTACAAAAAATAATGAATAAGCAGAAAATATATCGTGCACAAAAAATCAAAGTTGAAAAACAACTGGTCAAAAAAGGTTTAACAAATAAAAAAAGATGTCTATCTTCTGATTAAATTACTGGCAAAAAGAAATCCAAACTCTGTAGAGATATACATTTACTTAAACAGATTTGAAGGCAATGAGGCAAAACGGCAGCTGCGTTCTAAGAACTGATTTTATTTTAAAGGAAATGATCCTAAAACAACATTGTACAACTGAGAGAATAAAATACAGCGATCTTCGTGATTTCTCCCCTTACTTCTCTCCTCCGGGACGCATTTTCTCGCACTTGCCCTCTTGTTCTTGAATAAAATTAAAATTTCATCAAATAATCAATGATGATGAATAATTTGCAAATATAAATAATATTATTTTTTTATAGAACATCGAGGAATTGTTTCACCTGTCATAGTGGAAAACTCAGGGACGGTCACTGTGGCCCAGGACGAAGGAGCGGCCCTGATTTGTATAGCTCAGGGCTGTCCAGCTCCAGAATACAGGTAATAATGCATTTCTTGTATTTTTTTTAAGTTATTTTAACACAAATAATAAAAAAGAAAGAAAGAACGCTACTAAAAACATTTTAAAATTTCAAACAAAAAAATTTGTAAATTTCAAAATGTCCAGGCGGTTTTTTTATTTTTATTTTTAAGCGTTATTTTATACAAACATTATTATTTAATTTTATTTATTCTGCTTTTAAATGCGGAAATCCTATAGTGGGTCACTTTTATTTTTATTTTTTATATAGTAAAAAAGAAACTACTCTTAATTAGTCAATTTCTACCAATTATAATACTAAAAAATTATTAAATCATGAAAAAGTTATAAAGATTGAACTTGGGTCTCTCGGATGTCAAAAAAATAAAAATTGGCATACTATACGATTTGCGATGTTAAACGCAGAATAAATAAATATAGTTTTTTTAATAAACAATCAAAAATGAAAAAAACAAGAAATTAGTGTTTTTCGAAAAAATTGAAAAGTTTTGTAAAATATGGGTAAATATTTTTTTTGTATTGTTTTTCTGAAAAGTAGGCTAAAAATAAAACCTCTCGATTTGTCAGTTTTTAAAAAAGTTATGAGTATTTTAACTTTTTTTTCGGTCGGGTACAAAAATTAAAAAAATGCACAGGCTTGTATAAAATAAGATTGTAACGATCGGGGCTAGGGGGCAAGTTAATAATTAAAAAAGAATATTAAAACCACAGAAAAACTACCTTTGGCCAAAACACGTGATCTTCTAGTTTTGAGAAATTAAGTTAAGACCACTTTTCGTTGTGAATACGGTTCTGGATACGTAAGTACTTGAGCAATTGAAAAGATATTTAAAAAGCAAATAAAAAGTATTAAATTAAAATAAGTTTATTTATAAAGGCAATTAATACAAGAGTTAATATTATTGCTATTGTACATTAATAATTTAAATAAAAACATTTGTATTTGAAAAGTATCATTGATTAATAAAGTAAAACCTTAAAAACCCACATTTACAATACAGACATGCATATATGTCGCACATCTTAACAATATAAATAATACAACAAAATCAAAGTAATCAATATGAATATAATCAATTATATTATCATATTGCTAAGATTATTTACCTACATAAATAATAGGCTCGGACGGTGTAGAAAAGCAAATACAAATTGAAATAATTATCAATGTACAGCAACAATAATAAATGGTAGTGGTAAATAAAATATATAAATAACAAGTAGTATAGTGGTGGTCAAGAGTTATGCAATAAAATTTGTGTACAGTCATAAATAATAAATACAATCAGGTATGATAAAGTAATAAAATTATGTCTGTGCAAATAAAATATAGCAAAATAAAATGATTATAATAATAAAATAAGACAATGTCACAAACACTCACATCATGGGCCCTACCTAGCATTCATAGAAAGAAAATTCTAACAAGTATTTTTTGTGGCGAAATTGAAACAAAGTCCCAACATATTAAATAATAAATATCAATTTAATAAAATACTAAAGAAGTAAAATAAGTTAAACTGTACAAAATAAATTATGTAAATGTTAAATATAATTATGTAGTAATATGGTAAATTACATTACAATATAATATGTTAAAGTAAATGTAATATAAATATAATAATGATAAACATAAAATAATGATTATAATACATTTGTAATTTGGTTTGTCCAACCACAACCATTTAAAATACAAATGTTCAGCTCATTCCTTCTTTCACAAAGAACAAGTTGAAATATTAATAAAATAAATTAAATAATTAACCACTCATTATGATATTTGTGACCTTTAATTATAATAATTAGATTTAGAAAACTCATAATAAACAACAATTTCACAAAAACTGAATTTATATAAAATTAATGAATTATAATGGATTAAATAATTCAACTATTCTCTTAAAACCGCAAACTGTCTCAAATATACTTTCTTCTCTAGGTTACCACACTCTTTTTATGTTTATTTTTAAGACTAGGAACTGTACCAATACTTGGTCTTTCTGTAACGACCACTTGAGGGGTCGCCCAGATGGGATCATAAATTATTATTGTATAATAAACAAATAGAGTGTATCGAATTCTAAAGTGAAAACTTATGCCTAACAATTAATACAATTGTAAAACAAATATTTAAAATTTAATCTCATATTATATCATACCAAATATTAAAAAATTAACTGCCCCATATATCGTCCCATTACAAGATATACAATATTTTTTGGCTACCTACGTTTTTCGGTTCAGTTTGGATCTGGGATCTGGGATATGTGTCATTATACTATTAAGGCTCTCTGCCATTTGTCAGTTTTCTCTAACATTTCTTATTAAAAAAATAATAAATTGAGACAGCTAATATAGAACTGGTTCATAAATAATAACCTAAAATAACACAAATTAATAGAAAAATTTTTAATTAAATATAATAATAATAATGACTTAACTAAGGTTGAAAGTTAGAATCACACTCTATACCCCATGTCCCTAACATATTGCAATAGTGAAAACTTGGATATATTTCATGGGTTTTGTATGAAACAGAATTCTAAAACTAAAATAAAATAACAAATAAGTAGCTGCTCAGTACTAATAAAGAATGTGATAAAATGTCTGTGAATAATTTGTTAAGCGTGACCAAACCTTATATTTTATGTCTACTTCGTCACAAACCGCCTAAATAAAAAATAAAAAGTATAATGGCCCACTTTCAACGGTAGGAATTCACTGCCCCACCCTGTACAAATCCGATTATAATCCTGTATTTATTCAGACTCGAAATCCTTCCTAATTAAAAAACTAAGCACAATTTATTTGCTTTGACTCCGCTTATAATCCAGAGCTCTTTGACCGATCGCCGCGTTAATTACGTTTCATTAAAAATCCGTCTCGATGTCGGATGCGAACTTTTAGGTTTTAAAAGGTAACCATAACGACCGTGCTGACGTCATTACCGTTATTTGTCAATAACGTATCGGCTAATGTTTAAAATCGCAAATCGATGAGGTTTTAATTTAAGGGCAAATACGCCAGTTTAATTAATTAAAACTTTTTATTTTTTTAAATACACACTTTTTTTTCATAGGTGGTACACCCATGCTGGTATGGAACCATCTTTGATAATGCCAGGACCAAGGGTTCGACAATTGGGTCCCGTTTTGGCTATTGAAGCTGTAACATCTGAAGATGGTATGTATAGATACAAAAAAAGTTTGTTCCAGTGCCATTAAAACTTTTTGTGCATTAATTAAACTCTTTTTTCTACTCCCTCCTTTAAAACGCCCTTTAAAGTACATGTTTCCATGACACTAAGTGACCTTTTAAATACACATTGACAAGTTGTTGCTTTATGGCGCTTTAGTCACGGGCTGAAGGTAGCAACAGGTTTTTAGTCACGGGCTGAAGTTAGTTTTAAGTTAGTTGACAGTTGTCAAGTGTCATACAATCGTTAAAATAAATTGTCTTTCTTGTGAAATAATACTAAATGTGAAATAGTATATTACACTACAAGGGCGGAAAGTGTGAGATTCCTGCAGTGTAGTGTATACTATTTTTCTTACTACCTCGGCCGAAAATACAACCCGGCCGAAAATACGGGAAAAAATTAAATGTGTATTTATGTACCTATCTCCATTTGAAGAGCTTGATAAATAAATAACAGTAGGCCGTGAATTCAGCGGTGCCAATACAGTAAAAATAAAAGGTTGTATTTTAATTAACAAATTACTACTTTATAACAAATAAAAGTACCATTAAACACTTAAAACAACATAAAAAGTTAAAAAGTAAAAACATAAATTGTTTATTTGTTGTTATAATTCCAAAATTATGGTTTAAAACTGTCATATTTTTGTGTTTCTCATGTTGGCAGTATGAAATTTGAATGTTAAGCAAACGACTAAAAAATTTGTACTCCCGCTATTAGAGTGTGCGCCAATGCATAAAACGTAAACTTTCTGCCGTGGAATCGGGGACGAAACAACGTATTTTGAGTCGAGGTAGTATGAAAATTATTTTATTATCTCAATACAAAAGTATTAAATAGTTTCTTATGAACATTGTACTGACCTTTTAATTTCGCCAGCAGTAAACTATAAATTAAATTCGGGCACGGACTCCACTGTAAAGTGCTCATAAAACATTTTCATTTCTTTCACTGTGAAAAACTGTCAATTTTCAAGAAATACATTTCGATTTATAACCTTTATAGTTGTGTTTATAAAATATAAAAATTTGACATTTGACGGTGACACACAGATTCCCCTATTGTTTCATAGATGGCGCTCAATACAAATTTTTGATTTAAATCATTTTAAGATAATAATAAGTGTTTGTCGTAGAAAAAGTATAGTATGCACCTCGTTTATAAACTTTTCTATACACTCATTAATTAAATTCGTGTATAAAATGGCGTTTATCAAACTTGATACATAATTACTATTATTCGAAAAAAATTCAATCAAAGTTTATGGCACATCTGCACCAGAAATTAGAACTGTTTTAAATTGGGTGAATTAATGAAAAAAGTAATAAAAAAATCTGGACCTATTTGTACGTCAAAGTCAATTATAATTTTCTTCAAACTTAAGAATGTACTAAATAAATGTCGCAAACTTTTGAAGTTTATCTGGCAAAGTTTGGGGTCATTGTCAGTTATGTCTGTAAAAGTTGGTGAGGTTTCAAAAAATCCGGGACAAATTCAGGAGAAAAGTTCGCGAAACTATTTCGCTGCAAAGCGCAAAGTTATTTAAATTTTATTTAAAAATATGTGGCAAATTTACCATGTAAACAATTTAAGGGTGGTTTTCATGCACGAAAAGTTTCCGAGCTAAGCAATTTGCATATATGAGACTAAAGCAGTAAAAATAAAAATATATACATTTTGTTCATTATGTACCAAGTTTCATAAACGCCATTTTAGTCTCGAATTTAATTTTGGCACAAGCGAGCTTGCGAGCGAGTGCTTAATTAAATGAGTGCCCAGAAAAGTTTATAAACAAGTTGCATACTATACTTTTTCTACGACAAATACTAATATTATCTAAAAAATTATTTAAATTAAATATTTGTGTAAAGCGACATCTATACGAAAATAAAGTAACCATACCAATAAACATTTTTGACGTAATTTTTACCATTAACATGCCCGTTATTATTTTAATTAAACTTAACCATAATTAATATTTTAAAATATTAAAATAATTTCAAAATACACTGCCCGTCAAAATAAACGCATAATAAGTAAAAAAATTCTAACTCTAAAACGCCTTTACCAATCTTCAAATTTTGTATAAAAATACTTTAACTTATATCTCAGTTTACTTGTTCGAGGGTTTTTAGAGAAAATATTTTTAAAGCTCTTTTATTTAATAATTGAAAAACGTTCGAAAAATAACTTTAAGAGGATTTTTGTTTTAAGTTAATAAAAAATATGCTGTTAAAGACCGTATTTTTGTTAGTATACCCTGAAAATTTTGTACAAATAAAAAAAACAGTAACGAAGATACATCGCTTCAAAGTCGGTTAAAATTACCCCTTTTTTATTATTTTGCTGAAAAGTGGTCATTTTTGACGACTTTGAAGTGCTGTATTTTCGTTACTGTTCGTTTGATTTGTACAAAATTTTCAGGGTATACTAACAAAAATACGGTCTTTCACAACATATTTAAAAAAAAATTCCCTATAAAAGTTTTTTTTCGAGTATTTTTTATTATTAAATAAAGGGCTTTAAGGATATTTTCTCGAAAAACCCTTGAACACGTAAACTGAGATATAAGTTAATAGTATATTATGTATCAAGTTTTATAAACGCCATTTTAGTTACGAGTTTAATTAAGCACGAGCGAAGCTTGCGAGTTTAATAAAAACGAGTGTCTAGAAAAGTTTATAAACGAGTTGCATACTATACTTTATCTACGACGAACACAAAACAGAATTTAAAGCCAATTTTATTTGTTAAAATGTTGACATCTGTCAACTGTCACCCGAATTTAACCGCACTTTTTCCCAATTTATAATAAAGCTAACTTCAGCCCGTCAATAAAATGCCATAAAGTTACAGCTCGTCAATGTAGGAGTAGATAAAGTATTTTTATTCAAAATTTTAAGATTAGTAAAGGCGTTTTAGAGTTGGATTTTTTTTACTTGTTATGCGTTAATTTGGACTCGCAGTGTATGATTATGTTAAGAAAATATGTTATCCTTTATTGTTTTTAATACTATAATTGCAAAGTATTATCACAAAGTATTAAAAATTTTTACACGGGAAATGTTAAGGGTACAAAAAATGACAGGCGATAAAATTTCAAATTTTTCTGTTTAAATCAAAATTTACCCCTTGAAAATAGACTAACAATCGATATAGAAGCAGTTTTTCACAGTAAAAGAGAAGAGAATGTTTAATGGGCACTGTTCGCCAAATTTTTAACGCGTTATTAGTTAAATCTAGTTAACTGCAGGCGAAATCAAAAGGTTCATGTAATATTTTTAAATATTGGCGTCAAGAAAGATTTAATATCCTTGTATTTTTGTATTGAGATAATGAAATAATTTTCACATTTAGTATTACTTTACAAGAAAGGCACTTTATTTTAAAGATTCTATAATATTTGACAACTATCAAATAACTTAAAAGTAACTTCAGCCCTTGACTAAAGCCATAAAGCCACACACGGTACGTTGAAAATACGTGTAACCCAAAAGTGCGAACACTCGAAATTTTTTGTATTTAAAATAGGTAACTAAAATAATAATAAAAATTAAAAAAAAAAAATTGTTGGTTAATTTATCAGGGTAGTACTCTTCAAAAGTAGATCCAAGTAAAAAATATCGATATTAATAATTAAAATATGTATTTTTTAACTTGCAAAAATAAATATTATTAAAACTAATTAAAACTTAATTAAACTTTGGTAAAACTAAAGAATAGTTTGCATATTTAGTTTATAGTTAGTTTTGTTTTTGTATTAGTTTTGCTTCAATTTGCATTAGGTTAAGGTTAAAATTAATCTTAGTTAATCTAAGTCTTCATTATATAGGTTAAAGTTAGGCTTAGATTAATCTTCCTTAAGTTAAGTTTAAGTTAAATATTAGCTAATAAGATTAGTTTTACTTAAGCTAAGACAACTTTTGGTAAAATTTAAATATATTTAAGTATACTTTATAAAATAAATATTAGTTCATTAGAACCCGTTTAAAATTAATAATAAAAAATATCAACTTTTATATTTTTACTTAAAATGAATTTTGTGAAATACAGCCCTGAAATTATTTTTTGCTTAAGAAAATCATAATTTATTTGGCCATATATATATATATATATAATATATTATAATTTATTTATATTTATGTATTTCACCAAAATAAAATATCCTAAAATTAAAAGGCAAAACAAACAAAATATTCAAAAATGTGTAAAAAAATTCAAATCAAATTTTCTCGAAGGGATGACCAACAACCTATTTTAATTTTTGGTTCAAAATGTTCGGTTGACCTCCTAGGAATTTGAAATGAAAAAAGTTTCTAGTGTTCGTACTTTTGGGTTTAACGTATTTGGGTGAATATTTTAAAACTGTCGATTTTCGGAACCATTTTAGTTAACACATAAAAAAATTGCAAATCTTATTAATTTTGCACTTTTTGGACTTTTCCACTCATGAACATAGACATGAAGACTGAAAACGTAATTTTTTTTTTGACTTTTTTAGAAAATTGAACCCACGGTTTTACTTGGTCTTATTCTTCTGCGTCTCTCACGTTCTGCTTGTCTTTTAGCTTCGTTGGTCAACTTGTTTCGTGGTTTTGTCATTTTAATAAATTTCCCACTGAAATGAAATATTTTAAATTGGTCACATGTAAGGGACACGACAATGACGAGCACGGTAATGATGATTTTAAGGTTAGAGTGTTTTACAATGTTTATTCAAAAATGTAATGGAATTTTCAAGTTACCATTTGCTTTTTGTTAATGCAAGACTCCTTTGTATTAATGTAAATATTTTGTATGTCCATAAACATTGAAATATTACTTACCCCGACAATGACGGACTTAGACGTAACAAGCCGTTTTCGTTTTCATTCGGCGCACGTCACAACTTTATGGTTTGACATATGCTAGTGGACGTTAGACAGGCAGGATATTTTCATAACAGACGTTCGAAAACTTTCGGCATTTTCCGAATGTATCGCGTATTTAAATATGAAATTAGACACATTTTAAGTAGCCACGGCAATGACGCTTATGGGTGTGAACAAAGTTTAAACGACATTTTAAAATGCAATTTCTTGCTTGCGTTGTATTATTTTGTATTTTCTGCGTCTTTGTTAGACAGGATATTGCAAGATTTAATTTGTAAATAAATTTAAGAAAATAATATGTTGTTGTTATCGGAAGTGAACAAGGCACGGTAATGACGTTTGCGACACAAAAATTAATTAATTATTTTTTACTATGCTCGTTTAGACTAAAATAAGTAAGGAATTAAGTAAAAACAGTTAATTAAACTAGATATCAAGTATTTTATTTTCAGTGGGATATTAACTTTTGAAATAATAAGCCAGAACCAATTGAATTACACTTTTGAAATATTCACCCATTTTCAACGTACTGCACTGCTCGAAATTTCATGACTATTTTAACACCAAATTAACACCATACATGGTCTATATCGATACAAACCAAAATGGTGTTAAATATGGTTCGTGGGTCCGGTGTTAATTCAAATACTAAAATAGTGTAAATTTAACTTTCACACAGTATTAAAATAAATTTTACCTGGTGTAAATTAAACTCCTTTTCAGTGTTAAATATTATGAGTTTTTGGTCAAATTAAATTATGCTACATGAAAAACAAGGAAAAAAAAGAAAACAGGAAGTTCCTTGACGCATTACTAGGATATTACCAGTGGTATTATTCCAGAAAATTGAACCTTCAACTCGCTAGAGATAATGTTTTTAGTGCATTCCACCAAGTTAAAATACTTCAAGTATTAACAGCTGTTTCCACCTATTTAAGGTCTCTTTAGTATCGAACAACTTGTAGTGTCACACCAAAATAAAGAACTACCTGAGCTTATAAACTCTTCATGTAAGTCAACAGAGGCGAGATTTAAGAACATCACGTGATCCACACCGCCTTTGCCGCGATCGGTACATACTAGGCAACCAGAGTGCTTTAGGTTGAAGTAACTCTTATTTTACAAACAACATATTAACTATCTGGTTTAGTACCGTCAAACTAATCTTTGTTTATATTAACCTTCCCACAGTTGATTTAAATAAATACTTATAAGTCAACTAAATTAATATAGTTAAATGAACTATTCCTTTTTTTCTGTGTAGGTGCACTTCTCAAATATTTTTAGATAAACACCGTTTTGGTGTTTGCTGTATATAACATTTTCAACCATTATTCATGGTGTTTAATTAACACCACTTGGTGTTGGATTTTGACACCATTTTAAGATTACTTTTTACACCACAGATATTTTAAACAGTGTGTGCACAGCTTGCAAATGTGTATTTAAAAGGGCACTTGGAAACATAGAACAAATTTATGAAACATCAAAAATAAGTAAAAAAAACAATACAAACGCTAATTCTCTCGATTCCCGCCAGGTGGCACTTACCGCTGCGCCACCTCCAACGCGGGCGGCGAGTCCAGCGCCGACCTGCGCCTCGTGGTCTCCACCGCCCTGCACGTGGAAATATCGCCGCCCACTCTGAGCGTTCACATGGGCGGCAGCGCCGAGTTCCGGTGCGTGGTGAGCGCCCCGGGCGGCGGTCCGCATCTGGTCACGTGGTACAAGGACGGGCGGCAGCTGCCGAGCACCGGACGGGGCAGCAGCGAGACGCTGATCGTCAGTAACGTGGGCAGAGAGGACAGGGGAATGTATCAGTGCGTGGTGAGGAGGGCGGAGGGCGATACCGCCCAGGCGGCCGCGGAGTTACAGCTTGGAGGTGAGTTTACAAGTTTAGGTTATTTATACAATTTAGTTGGATTTTTTACTTGTATACTAGGCACGGTGCTGTTCTGAGAGGTGATTTTTGGACTTTCTGTGAAACCTAATTTTTTTTTATATTCTTGTTAATTAGGTCGTACCTAAAATTTTAAGAGCAAAATAAAAAAATTTTGACGGTTAATTTTGTTTTAATTGGATGTTTATTAAAAATATGTATGCACACTTTCAATTCTCCAATTAAAACTTGCGATTTTATTTAAATATTATCATAACTTTTCAAATCAGATTAAAGATTAGTTAATTTCCTAAAAAAAAGGTCTATACATTTTTTATATCTTTTACTGTTTTGTTGTAATACACGTTTAAAGTTTTAATTTAAGGTTAAATGTATAGTATACATTTATTAAACAATAATTTTAAGGGTGCCACATTTTATTTACGGCCGATTTATTCATTTGACGAATAATTTCTTTGGATACTAGATATTGCCAAGACATGAAAGTTATCGGCCCGATAAACTTTACTAAAGATGAATAAACCGGTCCTTAGTTAAATTTCATGAATTTCTTCGTAGCTTTTACTACAATTTTTCATTTTTGTTTATAAAAAACACTTTAAAAAACTAAACAAAAATTATAGAATACGTATACTGAAAATGACAATTCAAACATCAAATAAATTTTTAATAGATCTAAGTTTCATAGCAACCTTTAAGGATATATTAATTAACGGAACATAAATGTATACGTCAAAGGTTAGATTAAAAGTTTGAACGTTTATTGCAACAAAACAGTAAAATATATAAAAAAAATTGTAAAAACCTTTTTTTTTAGTTATGCAAATATTAAATATTTAAATTAAATCGCTAGTTTTAATTGGATAATTGAAAGAGTGCATAATATTTTTAATAAACAGCCAATTAAAACAATTTCATCAAATTTTTTTTATTTTGCTCTTAAAATTTTAGTTATGACCTAATTAACAAGAATATAAAAAAAATTAGGTTTCACAGAAAGTTCAAAAATCACCTCTCAGAACAGCACCGTGTAGGGTGTTTCAAAAAAAACTTAAATTATTTTTTTTCTAATGGTGTTGAAATAGTATATTGTGTCTCAAGGGCAGAAAACTAGCTTTAGCAGCTCGCGGCTATTAACTGCCTGAGCGAGCGAAGCGAAGCGAGGGCAGTTGATAGCTAAGGGCTGCTAATGCGTTTTCTGAATGTGTGACACACACCTGTTTTTCGCCTAGCATATTTTTTTAAATTGTATTAATATAAACGGAATTTTATAAAAAACTTCAGTAACAATTTACGAATTTATTTATTGTTGTAATTAATTAATTAATTAATTATGCCTTGATCACAATTGTGGATAGTACCAGAATTTGAAGGCTTATTTCTACAGATGAAGTTGATGTTTCATTAGAATTATCTTTGATCTTTCCGATAGATAAGCAACTAATACATTTTCTGTTAAGTTTTTGGGTTTTTGATCCTTTTTCCAGTTTTTATATAATTCATAGCACTTTTCGTACCGTTGCAACGCATTGTCTTTTTCAAATCTGGTCAAGTATTCGTAAATTTTTCGTCACTGTCCGAGTTACCATTCATTTTTACTTTATTACAAAATTTAAATTAAGTTTTATTGTTATTTTATACTTTTGTTGTCCGTTTTTATTTTGATTTACACAAACGTCTGAAAATCTCAAATGTCAAAATGTCAAATGTCAAAATACATAAATGTCAGTCAAAGGTGTCTAGATTGTGAAATAATCAAGTTTAGCGGCCCTAGGGACGATAATAGTTATTTATGTCATTAGGTTAAGAAGTAAGGCTTTTTGTGCTAAGCTCAAAGTTTGAAGGCCGACGCGTAGCGGAGGCCTACAATTGAGCGAAGCACAAAAAGACACTTCTTGGCCGAATGGCATACAACATTTTATCTTCAAAGCACTTTATATAGGTCAATTTAATTCAACATGAAAGTGGCATAACCTCACTTTTTTTAATCTCATTTATTTATTAGCTAAAGATTACATTAAATGTACAATAATTATTATTCCTTTTAGAAGCAGTAATAGTTTGCAATACCTAGCTACATGATTTAAGTAGAAATGGATTTTTGTAAGAAAATGGTTTACTTACCCTCTTGCTATTACATTGAATTCAATTAATTGTTTAATAAATAGGTACCTAATAGGTATCTAATTTCAATTTGTTTGCATTTTTATTAAAAAATAGGTAGTTTGGAATGTTTACGCTGTATTTAACATTTAATTTTACTGAAAACTTAAAGCAAATTAAAATTTAAAGATAATTTAAATCGTAGAAAAAGAAAACACAACTGTGAAACGTCAAATTGCAATGTCCTAACCTCACTTTTTATTTTATTATTCATATTTAATTTTACAATAATTTAATGAAAAATATTAAACATTATAATGTTATAACAGTAAAACAAACAAATTAGTGCTTATTATAAATAAATTAAACCAGTTTAGTACGTTAATTTCTTAGAAAAGGATTAATTTGTCAAAACAATACCCCTAGCGAGAAAAAATCGAACTAATTACTTGCCTCATAAAAATTTTTATCGGCCTAGGCCATAACAAGGTATTTCTTTATCGAATGTTGACAACAATAAAGTTTAAATTATAGACCGCGTGGAGATAAATATTATTTTCGGTCATATTTTTAGGTTTGATATGATTCATTTTTATATGTGCTGGGCGAAAAAATTAATAATACATTAAAATACAAAAATTTTGGCGCATATTTGAGCCCTTAATATTAATATTAAGGTTTGCCTCAATTCCTTTGTTGTTTTTTCATTTCAATAACACGGGAATTTTTATTTTTTAAATTTTGAATTCTTATAACTTTGGAATGGTTTGTTTTCGCAACACCCAAGCGAGAGGAGTTATAGACAATTTCACGCTCTACAAAAAACATATGAAGGTCAAAGTTCTTCAGGTCAACCGTTTCAAAGATATCAGCGATCAAAAATAAGACTAATACAAAATTTCAAATATTTTCAAATCAAATACAAAAAAATATCATATGCCATATTTATATTATTTTTTATGTAAAATCACCATTTAAGTCAAAATGACATTTAGCAATGAAAAATGTCATAATGGTTCATAATTATAGCAATAATGAATTAGTGGAAATGTTACTAATTTATGGAGAGTGTCGTCAAAATGCAAATGCTGCAACTTAGTAAATAATGACATTTTTTATTTTAAAGTTGTTGTTGCAGGGTAACCACGGTGTGCCTGTAAGAGGTATAAGTCACATAAAAACGGCGCCAAAAACTAATGGAAGTTTTGTGTTTGGAACCATTTGGTGACTTAAAAATGATATTTACCAAAATCCTAGCTGCTCTTTAGGAAATTTTTTAAAAATTCATTAAGGTCTTTTTTTTAATAGAATACGCATTTGTAGGTCGATTTTAATAAGATATCAGTATGTTGTTAAGGTTAAGTGACCAGATTCTGTCAAAAAATAAGGGAACATTTTGTGTAAATTAACCTTAATAACAAAAATGACACAATCAACAATAATTAAATAACGTCAAATTTACAATTTCCATTGTATAATTGTGTCAATTTTGTGATTAAGGTAAATTCATACAAAACGCCCCCTATTTTTTGACCGAATCTGGTCACTTTAAGTTAAGGAAACCTAAAGAATAGTTTTTTTTAATGAGCACGTCATTTAATATAAACAGAATAAGTCAAAAAATCGCTACAGAGTAAATTCGTGCTTTTAGCACTTCGAGCTACTATAGAAATAATTTATTCTTAGCCCTGAAAAAAGGGACTAAAAGTACATTTTTTTTCAAGCGGTCATGATATACAACCTTATATGCATGTATAGAAATAGTTGAAGTGCGTCTTTTTCATTAGCGGCAGAAAAAAAACCTCAAAAAAGCCTAGGGATAGTAAATCCATAGGTGACTCAATAGACGTCAAATAATAAAATTAATTTAGCATTTCATACAAAGCAATCACGATCTATTAATTATACTAATTATAATCGCACGGAATATTTAGTGATTATTTATTAAATTTTAATTGAACGAAATAAAAAACAACTAGTTTATTAGTATAATATTATGATGATAGACGAGTCGCCAATGTCGAAACTCCAAACAAATGTCAGTACGTCAAAATTAATTCAAGCGCAGCATTTTGACAGAGCAGTGTTTATTTTTAGTTTAGGATATTTATCGGCATTGTAAGGAAGGGTTATAAGTTTTTTTAGTTTTTATCAATAATTTCTAATGCTTTTAGCCAAAATTGTACGTAAAAATACTTCTATCCCTAGGCTTTTTTGAGATTTTTGTCTGCCGCTAATGAAAAAGACGCACTTCAACTATCTCTATACATGCATATAAGGTTGTATACAAATTTTTTTTTTCAAGTGGCCATGATATATATATATCATGGCCGCTTGAAAAAAAAAATTTCAGTTGCGATGTTCATTTTCATAATGTAAGATGGGTTTTAAAAAATAATATTTTTACCATCAATGTCAAAATCAAAGCTGTCATCAAAAAAATTATGAAAAACGGACTCTGTAGTCTACAGAAACAGCTTTTCTTCCGGTGGGTATTCGCAGAAAATTTTCTAATTAGAAACTTGAAACTGATAATTAATAATTTTAAGGGTTTTTCTTCCGTGGCCGGAGTAGCCAAAGCATTTTTGCAAGATTTCTTTACTAGATTTAATTGCGATTTTAGAACAGAGAAAAGAATTTTTTGGTTGAAAATTTGCATTAGTTTCGCAAAACCGGCAAAATTTAAAATAAATAAAAAAATATCATTTTTTTCTTTATGAATTTTTCGTTGTTGGGTTTTTTCCCATGGGTATCATCTTAATTATTTTTTTACAATCTAAAAAAAGAAATTGAGGTCGTTTAACCCTGCTTAACATCCCCTATAATGTCGCCCCCTTTAACTTTTTTATTTGTCCCAAAAAATTTAAATTAATAGATCA